TGAAGCCTTAAAGATCAATGATATCCCTGGGCGTGCTTCTAGGAAAAGAAAAAAAAGAAAGCTCAAAACCTACCGAAGAAGAAAATTACTATACTTAGGCAATGTGGAAACGTCATCATGTAGCTTCATAACCATATCTATCCATTCATCATTCTGTTACCAAGGACAAAGACAACATGTTGACTGTAATGGGTAGAATGTTCATTACGTGGCAGGACCCTTTAAAGAAAGAGAATCTTTTCTCTCTCCTGTCACGTGGGAAAAAGGATCCTTCCATGGCATTTTGTAAATGAGCTCTTGGCTATTGCTGGGTAGTGAGTTCCCAAGTTTAAGGTTTACCATTTATTGGCATCCAACAGAGAAACAGAGTACTTTTATTTGGAAATACATTTGGAAAGGATTCCAGAAAGCCCAGGCAGCATTAATTGTACTCTAGTTTGAGAGATTTTCACCTTTTCTGAGCTCTGTAACTAGCTGGCATGCTTCCAACTGTAATTTAGACTTACCATGAACTGTGGGTTGTTTTTTTTTCAATGTGTGCAGTGATTTTTTTAAAAATCCAATAACTTCTTTTATTTGTTCTAAATATTAATTTTGCATCTGCTTTTCTTATTTTCCAGCACTAGCCCTTGTAAGTTTATTCTCAAGAAAGTATATATTTTATCTATGGTTTTTAGTGATATGTTAAAACTTTGGCTATTTGGTGAATTTGGGTTCACTTGTGAAACCTTTACTAATCCCATTATGAGCTCCCCTCGGTATGTCTCTTACCCCAAGACTGCTTTATTTAAATTACAATAGGAAATGCCTCTGAACCTTCAAACATCCCAATTTACACTCTTTTAATCAAACAACTGCAAGCCAGGGTAACTCTCCTAGTGAATTCATTAAGGGAACCAGATTTCATTTGGGCAGGACTTTTATTTTCTAGAAGATTAAAAATGTAGAAGGATTCTATGCACAATCTGATCTTATAGCTGCTTATGTGTTATGACCAAATAATCTGTGATATAATCAACCAGACATCAGCATGAGCATTATTTGCACAAACAAGTGAACAGACATATGCACTTTGAATTGGAATCAGATCCATGTTCAAATTCTTATTTTGTTAATATGGACTCAAGAAAGTGATGGTTAATGTTAGATTATATATACATATATTTTAAAATCTAAGAATGGACTCTATTTTGGAAAAGTGGAAGAAATATATAAGATTATAGAACACTTATTAGATAAAGATTATGTTTTGGTGAACACAGAAGATAGCAGTATTTGCCTCATATATATTCAATTAGAACAGGAGACTGACTCAAGGACATTTTTTAAACATTGGTTTATAACATTATATGCATTTCATATGTACATTATATTTATACTTCAAAAGTAGAAATATATTGTACATGTGAAACATATAATACACTGCATATAGTATTAATATATACAAGCGGTGCAGTGGTAAAGAATTCATCTACCAATTCAGGAGACAGAAGAGACAGGGGTTCGATCCCTGGGTTGGAAAGACCCCATGGAGGAGGAAACAGCAACCCACTCCAGTATTCTTGCCTGGAAGATTTTATGGACAGAGGAGCCTGGTAGGCTATAGCCCATGGGGTCACAAAGAGTTGGACATGAGTGAGCATGCATGCATGAGTATCTATCTATAGCATGCTTACCACCAAAAATTCAGTTTCCATCTTCTACCTTATAGGTGTTCCCCTTCACCCATTTCTTTCTCCTCCACCCCTTCCCTCTGGTAACCACTATTTTGTTCTCTGTAATTTTGTTTGTTTATTCATTTATTTTGCTTTGCTTTGTGTTTTTTTTGGTATTCCACACATGAGTGAAATCATATTTGTTTTTCTCTATGTGACATATTCATTTAGTATGATACCCTCAAGTTCTATTCAAGTTGCTGCAAATGGCAAGATTTCACCTTCTATGGCTGTGTAGTATAACTTTGTAGATATATACACAATATTTTCTTTATCCATCCATCAGCTGATGAGCAGTTAGGTTACTTCCATGTATTGGCTATTGTAAATAATGCTGAGATGAACATAAGGGTGCATGTATCATTTCTAATTAGTGTTTTCATTCTTTGGGTTAAATACTCAAAAGTGGGAGAGCTAGAACATATGGTAGTTCAATTCTTAATTTTTAAAGGAATCTCCACACTGTTTTCCACAGTGGCTGCACTAATTTACATTCCCACCAGCAGTGTATGAGGGTTCACTTTACTTCAAATTCTTGCCAACACTTATTGTTATTTCTTGTCTATAACAGCCATTTGAACAGGTGTGAGGCGATTTCTCATTGTGGTTTTAATTTCATTTTCCTGATGATTAGTGATGTCGAATGTCTCTTCATATCCCTTTTGGCTATCTGTATGTCTCCTCTTGAAAAATGTCTGTTTATATCCTTGGCCCGTTTTTTAATTGTCTTTTTTTTTTTTTTAATGTTGAGTTGTATAAGCTCTTTTTATATTTTGGATCTTAACCCCTTATCAGATTTTAGTTTGAAAACACTATCTCCCATTCAGTAGGCAGCCTTTTTGTTTTGTTGATAGTTTCCTTTGCTGTGCAAATATTTTTTCTTTTGATGTAGACCCATTTGCTTATTTTTTCTTTTGCTTCCTTTGCCTGAGGAGACATAGGCAGAAAGTAATTGCCAAGACTAATTTCAAAAAGCAAACTGCCTCTGTTTTCTTCTAGGAGTTTTACAGTTTCAGGTCTTACATTTAAGTCTTTATTCCACTTGAGTTGGTTTTTATGTATGGTATGAGATAGCAGTCTAGTTTCATTTTCTTTTTTTGCATGTGACTGTCCCATTTTCCCAACACCATTTATTAAACAGAATACCCTTTTTCCATTGTATGTACTTGGTTCTTTTGTTGCAAATTAATTGTCCATATGTGTATGTATATATTTTGGGGATTTCAGCTCTGTTTTATTGGTCAAAGTGTCTGTTTTTCTGTTGATATTATGCTGTTTTGATTACTACAGCTTTGTAATATAGTTTGAAATCAGGGAGTGATTTCAAACTAAATCCATCTAGCATAAGGACAGGCATTTTTTAAATGAATTACTTTAATTGGAGGCTAATTACTTTACAATACTGCGGTGGGTTTTGCCATACATTGACATGAATCAGCCATGGATGTACATGTGTACCCTGGTTCCAAACCACCCTCCCACCCTCCCTCCCCATCCCATCTCTCTGGGTTGTCCCAATGCACCGGCTTTGAATGCCCTGTTTCAGGCATTGAACTTGAACTGGTCATCTATTTCACATATGGCAATATACATGTTTCAATGCTATTCTGTCAAATCATCCCACTCTCACCTTCTCCCACAGAGTCCAAAAGTCTGTTCTTTATATCTGTGTCTCTTTTGCTGTCTCATATATAGGGTCATGGTTACTATCTTTCTAAATTCCACATATATGTGTTAATGTACTGTATTGGTGTTTTACTTTCTGACTTCCTTCATGCTGTATAATAGGCTTCAGTTTCATCCACCTCATTAGAACTGACTCCAATGCATTCTTTTTAATAGCTGAGTAATATTCCATTGTGTATATGTACCATAGCTTTCTTATCCATTCATCTGCCAATGGACATCTAGGTTGCTTTTATGTCCTAGCTATTGTAAACAGTGCTGCGATGAACACTGGGGTACACACGTATCTTTCAATTCTGGTTTCCTTGGTATGTATGCCCAGCAGTAGGATTGCTAGGTCATATGGCAGTTTTAGTTCCAGTTTTTTAAGGAATCTCCACATTGCTCTCCACAGCGGCTGTACTAGTTTGCATTCCCACCAACAGTGTAAGAGGGTTCCCTTTTATCCATGCCCTCTCCAGCATTTATTGTTTGTAGACTTTTGGATAGCAGCCATTCTGACCGGCATGAGATGGTCATTGTAGTTTTGATTTGCATTTCTCTGATAATGAGTGATGTTGAGCATCTTTTCATGTGTTTGTCAGCAATCTGTATGTCTTCTTTGGAGAAATGTCTGTTTAGTTCTTTGGCCCATTTTTTGATTGTGTTGTTTATTTTTCTGGAATTGAGCTACATGAGCTGCTTGTATAATTTTGAGATTAATTCTTTGTCAGTTGCTTCATTTGCTATTATTTTCTCCCATTCTGAAGGCTGTCTTTTCACCTTGCTTATAGTTTCCTTCATTGTGCAAAAGTGTTTAAGTTTAATTAGGTCCCATTTGTTTAGTTTTGCTTTCATTTCCATTACTCTGGGAGGTGGGTCATAGAGGATCCTGCTGTGATTTATGTCAAAGAGTGTTCTGCCTATGTTTTCCTCTAGGAGTATTGTAGTTTCTAGTCTTACATTTAGATCTTTAATCCATTTTGAGTTTATATTTTTGTATGGTGTTAGAAAGTGTTATAGTTTCATTCTTTTACAGGTGGGCAGCCAGTTTTGCCAGCACCACTTGTTAAAGAGATTGTCTTTTCTCCGTTGTATGTTTTTGCCTCCTTTGTCAAAAATAAGGTAAGGAAAGCCATTTTAAAGTATGCCTTCTGTCTGAGTCAAGATGGGTTCAGCAATTGGGAAGGCTGCAACTAAAGTAAAAGACTTCAGAGCCTACGATGTGTGTCACTGGGGTCCTCTGGCTCATTTGCTAGTGCAAACCAGCAGAGGGTGATGGTGAAGCTGGCTTGTAAAGAGAAATAACCTCTTTCTTTCTCATGAATCTTCAAGAGGTAGCCATACTTCACTTCTATACCAAGGTTCTTAAAGAAATTGCCATTGCTTTTCCCTTAAATTTTATGAATTATATTTTTACTGTTAAATATTTAAAAACATTTTAATCTTGGACCTGGACGCGGCCGCCGTGGGGAAGTGCGGTCTCCACCTCTGCCCCCGGACCTCGGGACAAAAACCTCAATTTAGAAATAGGTTGCCAGGCGCAGGCCAGGAGGTTTGGCCGACACCCCCTCCCCACCAGGGACCCTGTCATTCCCCGGAGGGAGGGCCGTGGGCGCGATGAGCCAGGTGCTGCGGAAGCCCCAGCTGGAGGAGGAGGGTGAGCTGGTGGTGCTAGCGGACTACGGAGATGGGTCCCACTCCTTGGATGCCAAGCCGGACACCAGGGCGGAGGAGGCAGTTCTGGACTTTAGCGACCCCCTTAGCACAGAGGTGAAGCCAAGGATCCTGCTCGTGGGCCTAAGAAGGAGCGGCAAGTAATCCATCCAGAAAGTCGTCTTTCATAAAATGTCTCCCAAGGAAACTCTGTTCTTAGATCTGCCGGGAGGACGTTTCCAACAGCTCCTGTGTTAATTTTCTCAGATTTGGGACTTCCCGGGACAGATTGACTTTTTTGACCCCACCTTTGACTATGAGACGATCTTCTGAGGGACAGGAGCACCGCTATTTGTCATAGACTCCCAGGACGATTACATGGAGGCCTTGGCCAGGATCCACCTCAAGGTGACCAGAGCCTACAAAGTCAACAGCGACATCAACTTTGAGGTGTTTATTCACAAAGTGGATGGTCTGTCAGATGACCACAAAATTGAAACCCAGAGAGACATTCACCAGAGGGCAAATGATGACCTTGCAGATGCTGGGCTATAAAAAATTCATCTCAGCTTTTATCTGACAAGCATATATGACCATTCAATTCAATATTTGAAGCTTTTAGCACAGTGGTTCAGAAACTGATGCCACAACTTCCCACCCTGGAGAATTTGCTAAACATATTTATCTCAAATTTTGGAATTGAAAAGTTGTTTCTTTTTGATGTGGTCAGTAAGATTTATATCGCAACAGATAGTACCCCTGTGGATATGTAAACCTACGAGCTCTGCTGTGACATGATGATGTGGTCATTGATATTTCTTGTATTTATGGCCTCAAAGAAGATGGAGCAGGAACCCCCTGTGACAAGGAATCAACAGCATTATAAAGCTGAATAATACAACAGTTATTTATTTAAAAGAGGCGACAAAGTTCCTGGCTCTTGTTTGCTCTGTTAGAGAGGAAAGCTTTGAAAGAAAAGGTCTGATTGACTATAATTTTCATTGCTTCCGAAAGGCCATCCATGGAGTTTTTGAGCTGAGAATGAAAGTGATGAAATTGAGAAAGGTTCAGAATTGGCTGCAGAAGAAAACAGGAGCCACCCTCAACAGGACGCCAAGGGTGCTGCTGTAGGTGAGGTTTCAGGAACATCTTTTGAAATCAGATGTTTCAATGAAGCTGCTGCTCTCATTTGCACTAAAGGAAGACGAGGAAGGAGATTGGGACACAAGACATACATTTGTTGTAAAAAAAAAAAAAATCCTGCCACCCTGTCTTTTAATCTTCTCTTTTTTAAATAAAGTAAGCACTTTGAAGCAAAAACTTGTATATTAACAATGAAGTGAAATCTACTGTAACTTCATTATACAAATGTAAACTTTTATGTTCTATAGTAAAAAAAATCCTGTGTGCATACTGCCAGGAACTGTGTATGTACATTTTGCACTTTTCCATGGTTTTTTTCTCATGGAACTAAAGTTTGATGAAACAACTTTTCTAAGCCTTTTTCTATCCTTGGTGCCTAGGACATGCATACTGAGTCCGTAAATATGGGGCAAATGGAAATTAATCAAAAACTGATTTGTTAGCAATGACTTTTTTAAGCATGGGAATCTTTGCTACCAATTTGTTGAGAAAAGTCAGTTTTCCATGGAGGAACAGATTGGGATGGCAAGTTCCAGGAGCAATAAGACCTGTCCCCTGTTTATAATGGATATAAATAGAAGTTTTATAGAATAATATTAGCGCCAAACTTATCTAACACTTCTATAGTTGTGAGAGTGCTTCCCTACCTGACAGTTTTTTTTTTTTTACAAAACTCTACCTCAACAGACATCTCTAAAATCATTTTATACAGAGAGGTTATTTCTTTCTGCTGTGTTATTGTTGTCCTTTGGGACCATATTTCCAAAATGGTGCCTATCACTGGAGAGAAATTGGAATGCTGCTGAACTGAAGGGTTTCTGAATGCTTTTCTGTACCTGCCTCCCAGGCTAAAGTAACATCAGAAGATACAAGATTTCCCAAATGGAGATGACTGGCAATTGCAGATTTGAAAATATATCCTATATAGTCCTATACAATTTTTTGCCTCTGTGGAATGGGCCTCTTGCCATGCAAGACTGCAAATGTTTATTTAGGACCAGTTTCTTTTCTTCTTCTTCGTTTTCTTTTTTTTTTTTACATTGCTCCATGACCACAGGCAATATTTCAGTTCTCTGCCACAGAACTGAATCCTGGTGGGCACATTTGTTACCTCTGAGTCTCCTTCTCAGCTGTGACAGTGTTCCTCATGGACTCTGCTTGTTACCACGTTATGATTGAACTAGAGCTCAGCTTGCCAGCAGCATGCTCTGAATGGCTAAAAAAGTGGCCCTGAAAACTGCTAAAAGTCAGTGGGCAAGGATGACCAGAGGAGGCATTATGGTTAGCTGTGTGTCTGTTTCTATGAAATTCTTCCTCTTATGTTTACTTTAGACCAACAGCAAGTGAAGAGATTCTAAATCTACCCCCATCCCAAACCACTCCAAGTAGATAATTCTAGGTCCATCCCAAGGCTCAGTGCCCTAAAGCATGTTGGCAGGTATTAGAAAATATTCATATGTATATATTTTTAGCAGAGCCTCATAGGGATAGCAATGCTGATCCTAGCAAAAATGGATAGTTCCTAAAGCAACTTTTCCTTGAGACTATCCATGGCTTCTTTCTATCCTCTCCTCGTCCATTTGTCCCCAAGTCCTATTGCTTTGAGGCTGGAAACTGCAGTTTAAGGTGGTAGCTGATTTAAGGTTTGAGCCCTCCCAAGGATCTGTGCATTTTGAAAGGAAATTTATTAAAATCATTAAGGTGCCCTAACTCCCTTCCTCATAATTCCTGCTCAGAAGCATTGTGTAGGAACCCAGGGCTCCAGGGAAGTCTTTTTCCTAATTTCCAAACCTATAACCTGTTGGACATTTGCCAGCATGGTACCTGGAGGTGTTCATTGGAAGGACTCATGCTGAGGCTGAAACTCCAGAACTTTGGCCACCTCATGCGAAGAGTTGACTCATTGGAAAAGACCCTGATGCTGGGAGGGATTGGGGGCAGGAGGAGAAGGGGAGACAGAGGATGAGATGGCTGGATGGCATCACCGACTCGATGGACATGAGTTTGAGTAAACTCCGGGAGTTTGTGATGGACAGGGAGGCCTGGCGTGCTGCGATTCATGGGGTCGCAAAGAGTCGGACACGACTGAGTGACTGAACTGAACCTGGAGGCTATTCTTACAAATCTAATTTTTTAATATTTTTTACACAATATTTCTTTTTGAATACACAAATAAAGAATCACTTTTTAAAAACAACTTTATCCTCAAGATAGAGACATTTGCCTAACTGGTAAATCACATTACTTAGGTATATATATTATTGTAACTCGGTGGAGCTTCCATTTTTAAGCTGGGAATATGGTGGGTTTTTGTTAAAATGAGCCTTAAATGCCTACTACTTCAAAAGCAAATGATTCTTTGGGGGAAAGGCAAAGTTAACACTATTGCATGAGACTCAGGTTCATGGTAGTAAGTGTACTCTTTGATTAATGACTCACTGATACATAGACTACTGCCTCAAAGCCTCAGCATGATGATGACCTCTTAGTTAAAGAAAAATGGAGTTACGTCTAAGCATTCCATTTCTGAAGTCTGTGCTATTGGAATCACAAAATCTCTTCAGTTGCTTTTTCATCTTGTTTTTGATATGGGACTTAACTTTCTTGCGTGTGGTCACCTTTATGTCTCAAATCCACTGCTATAAATACATATAAGTATACAAAATAACGTGTAAATACAAAGCCCAAATACATGGCTATGGTGACTGCTCTGGAATATTTCTGCTCATTTTCAAAGGTTGAGAACTTGACCTACAGGTTTTCAGGACAACTAGAACTTCTATGTGGGAGTGAGACTCTGAATTATCGTCTTTGGTTAGTTTCAGTAATATAGATTAGTGTATATGGCCAGAATGGCATATTTCTTTTTTTTCCTTTTTTTTCAGAGTGGCGTATTTCTGATGGAACAGACATTAAAAACTGGTTGACATTCATTGACAGTACTATTTTGTGAATATGATATATTTTGGACCCTTAAATATAAAATGAATAAAAAAACACAGCAATAGTGTAATGTACAGGTTATATGTTAACTCTGTTTGAAATATATTTAAGAAAAACAGCTGAATTGTCTTGATTATTAAAGTATGGTATGCATTAAAATTTTTTATCTTATATCATTGTTAATTAGCAGCATTGTGTTAGTTTCAAGTGTACAGCAAAGTTATTCAGTTACACATATACATATTTTTTTTCAAGATTTTTAGTTTATTACAGAATATTGAGCAGAGTACCCTATGCTATATAGTAGGTTCTAGTTGGTTATCTATTTTAAATATAGCAGTGTGTACATGTCAATCCCAGCCTCCTAATCTATCCCTCCTCCTCACCCTTCCCCTCTGGTAAACATAAACTAAAATTTTGATTTATTAGAAATCTACAGTTGGTTTAAAGTGTCCTGTATGTATCCAGTTTATGTTTTCAAGTGATGACACAATTGTCTCAACACTACTTACTGAATATTATTGATATTCTCAACTGGGTTGAGTTGCCCCTCTTTTATATTCTAAATTGCTGTATGGTTTTGAATTTATTTCTGGGTTCTCTGTTGTACATCCATGCCCTCTCAAGTCATGCATCTATACCATGCGGTTTTAACCATTAGAATTAAAACAAACAAACAAAACCCTGGGATGTTCCTGGTGGTACAAGAGATGTAGTTTCAATCCCTGGTCTGAACAAATTCCACATGCCTCAAACCAGCTAAAGCCCACACACCACAACTACTATGCCTGGGCCACAACTCTTGGAACCTGTGTGCCCAGAGCCTGGCCTCTCCAGAAGGAAAAGTCACTGCAATAAAAAGCCTATGCGCTGCAACAAACAGTAACACTCCCATCACTGTAACTAGAGAGAGCCTGTGTGCAGCAATGAAGACCCAGTTCAACCAAATACATTAATTAATTAAAAATAAAGTAATAAATCTTATATCACATATCTCTAGATCATCACTGCATCTCATACTCTTAAAAGAAAAATTCTTGATTATTTTTCATATTTTCCCCTAAAGACAATTAGTTGAT